TACCATCACAGACAAGTCCTCGATGATAATTGATAATTTCAATTAACGAAGCTCGGATAAAATGGCTCGGCTAACCACGAGACCTCACTGTGCCCGGAAAAGAAAGCATATATATATATTTTTTTATCTATATTTGAACATTACATCACTTGTTTATTGCAAGTAATAGGCGAAGCGTGTTCTTTCGAGCCTACAATAATAAAGCGTTTGGATCGAAACTTATGTGAAAACCAAATTAGCTCTACAATAACAAATAAAACGTATAGTACTGCCGTTTTTAAAACTATGAAAGATATTTATTAACTCGTACAAGCATAATAATCGTGTGTTTGATGGGTAAACTAAACATTATTCAGCTGATGAAACTGATTAAAGCTGCCAATAATTACACGACAATTCTGCAGAATTTTGATTGGAAATAAGTCTTTTTTCTCTCAGTTTTTCAACTTGTTATTCTAAGGGTCTCCCGAGAGGTGGGGACTGTGGTAAGCCCACGTATTTTGCGGTATAAAAATACCCAAACCGTTTGTAAAAAAGAGAACGAAACTTGGTTTATATCACTGATTTGACTCTTCTACTCCCAAGCGTGACTAGTAAATAATATCCTTACAACGTCAATACAATATTGAGAAGACAAGTGAAGGGAATAAAGAAAAATATCAATGAGGGGATTATTATTAGTTGATCCAATACCAAATTCTCAGAGCTAACGTCACAAGAACTGTATGGCAAGAAGTAAGAAGAATTATTGTTGACATCGTGAGAGTGAAAGAGTCAAGAGATGTGCTTCACGGTGAACCAAGTGCCACTCTAGAATAAAAACGCTTTAACACAGTCTAAACATTTCAAGTTGTCGTTCGCAATCTGTTCAAGTCATGTATAACCTTAGTTATCCTTGCCCTCTGGGACCCTCTGTTTGCTTACTCTTTGTTCATCCAGCTGTTCTTCCATTTTTTTATCTTACCAAACCCAATATGCAGTTTCCTTTTAAATTAAGGCAGTTTTGTGGGGTACAAAAATCAAAATGGCCAGAAATGTGCAAGTATGTATTACCTTTTTATAGTCCTCAGTCAAGCGTTAGGTAGGACGCAGTGATCTTGAAGCTTTTCAGTTGTTAGAACAATTGCGCGCTCTGTTTTTAAGGAAGCTTACCTAAGTCACTAATTATAAAGTCGCACATAAAAGGCCCTGTCTCGTGATATACACGAGGTCGTGATAGACAATACAGCGCGGAACTGATAATCAAAAATCCAATTGACTGTGACGCATTAATTTGCCAAGTTATGCTTAGCCGCACGACTTTTTCGAGCTTTCAGCGAAAAGAACTACGTGTGACTTGAAACACTTTTCAAGTATATAATTTCCAATCTATGACAACCTTTTCCACTCCAGACCATCTTTGTTCCTTTTTCGGTATGATTATACCGTTTATTATTTTTTATCACTACCGTTTGTGATGTTTTTCTTGCTGACAAGACACTCATTTCATTAGTATTTTGTGGTTTCTTTCACGTTGAAGGCAACTCTTCACATCCTATCGAACGACTCGAGATTTGTGTGTTGTAATCTCCCGCAAAAACAAGTTGTGTCTAGAAACTGAAGCAACAATTAAATGATCATTGAACTAGGACCTGATTTTCCCGCGGTCTCGGACTCTAAGTTTTCTGATAACTCCCTAGTTCAAGAGCCCCGGATTGGTATAAATTAACTGTTGAATCCACAGATCCAGGAAGCCACAGAGTTAGAAAATTTATTTATTCATCTGACAAGATAAAAGATTTGTTTATTATGAATCTATAGCTAATTTGATGTTTGATGCTCTAAACAGAACAGCTCTATCCACATGATGATATTCAAGATCTATTTCAGGCTATATCTAATGTTCATTCTTACCGCAATACACGTTCTTCTGCCTTGAATAACTTCTATACAAAACCATCTAGGCTATCCGTTCAATCGAATTCCTTCTCTCGAATAGGAGTAAAAGTTTCTGGAATGCAATATTAAGAAATCTTTCCAAAAATGCGTTTAAAAGAAAACTCAAACAAATTCTATTCAACAAGACTATTCAACAAGACTCTAATATACATTTATCTGAAATTATACAAAGTGTAAATTCCTGATAATAATTCTCCTGATATGTCCTGACTATATTTATAAACAGTAGCTGTACCTTTAATATTTTAAATCAGGTTAATGTAACGGTTCTTTTTGTTGCTATTCAATACTGTCTCTTTCCCTTCTACTTCATTAGTTACTTTCTGTTTTAATATATCTTTGTAATTCAGCATTGCCCGCCTAGATTAGCCTTTGCTAGTTGCGAGCATGCCCTTTACTGTAAAATTCAATTGGAAATTAATAAAGTGTGTGTTTGTGTGCGTGTGTGTGTGCGTGTGTGTGTGTGTGTGTGTGTGTGTGTTTGATATGTTAACTTTCAGAGTCAAGTATTAATAGCCATACTAATACGACACCGCGAGAAATATCTGAGAAAGGGAAAGTTTTCCACACAGATTCAATGAACGCAGAAAATCTTCTCGTGCATTTTCGCTGTGCCTTAAGCTTTGCTCTAAAAGTTTTTGTTGTTATTATAAGGACGTTAAACTGATTCCCCATTTCACATCGCCCATTTATCGATGTTTTTGCCTTACGGTTTCAATTGTTAGACTAATTCTAGAACGAAAGGAAACTCGAGTAGAGTTTTACTCCTACCACTTGATGAGCTCCGTGGTATTTGACTTAATTAGGGACCTTGAGCAAACCACGAAGAGGACGGCAACGAGTCTTTCCGCGAAGCAAATAAATAACTATTATAGTAGATTATAGATAAGGCTATATAAAGAACTTATCAGTGCGAGCCGTTGCCCTTTTGGTTCACCAATCTTCGTTTACGAATTCAGCGTCATGAATTTAATACACAGAGAATGAACGAAGTTGTAACGCAATATATTTTATTAAATAGTTCCAAAAATAAAGACTTGCATGCCATTTAATTATTTCACACGAAAGAAATGAGAATATTAGGCTCGTTGTTAAGCGTCTATTGAGCGTAAAAGGCAACGAAGTGTAACATCACTAAGTGAAATGGCGGCGGCTCGCAACAAGTTCTTTATATAAACTTATCTAGCCTTCTAGAAGTTATTTATTTGCTTCGAGAAAAGACTTAACAAGTAAACGAACACACTTTGGTGAAAATACTTTTGGACGAAAAGACCGTCATTCCAAGAGTTTTAAAAATTTTTACATTGCTTAGCAGTCCTCTGCAGAACAACAACGTGAAATAACCAAAATTTGCGTCGTCTGCGAACGGAAACCGCCACGGCAAATTTTTTGCAACTCAACGCTGCTTATATACGCTATGCTGAAGTTGGAGCGTGGCGCCGGGCAAGAGTAGCATATAACCCCATACATTAATTATGCATTCGGACTAGTATACTTTGTTTTTAAAGTTTTGTCGTGAAAGACAACGAAGTGGAAAGCATAATTAATGTATGGGGTTACATGGTACTCTTTCCTCGACGTCATCTGTGGTGTTGCCGTCTTGACTGCTAAAGGTGCCTATTGTCAGAGCAGAGAGGTATCTTGAGGTCTCTTTCTGAACCTTTCAATCACGTTTTAAGGTATCTTTGCAGATAAGTATTGTCTTCGCATCCTGACTATTTGAACACGTACAAGTAGACTTCAAAGGGCGCGACTTATGCACCCCGGCGTTTCAGAACTACATTGCTTCGCCGATACTGATATAGACATTTGTAGTCCTGGGTGGGAAATCAACTACCTGGCCCAAACACATCCTACACTAAACAATTACCCTTGGTTATGATTATCATATTCAAGACAATCATATGTCAAGTTTACCATAGCCAGTGGAAAAAGGTTGGGGGGGAGGGGAGGAGGTGTTTTCGCGTGCAAAGAGTAAAACTGTGAGGATTCAGTCACCAAAAAGATCGTTACGACGATGCCTCGTGTTTGCAGAAACGTTCTATTCCTCTGTCCCCTTTTGTATGCTGGCCACGCAGGCTAAGACTGTCAATACTAAAATTGCATAGTAACACGAATGGTTGCTCCTTCTTAGCATTTACAATATGATTGGTCCATTAGCAGGGAAGACAAGCACAACCCTGTGTTTTGATTGGCCAGGGTTTAATAGAAAAAAAAACAGGTATGGTATGACTCAATAATTCAACAATCCTTGTTGTCCATAACGCAAGCCAGCCAAATACAGTCATATCTACATTAACAAAGAGAATTATTGGAGCTTTAAACATGTTCCTATTCAATATGACCTTTACAAATGATTCACCATAATTGTTGACCGGGATTTAAGAAATGTGATTTCAAAATAAGTACTACCTTTGAATAAAAGCCCCATTGGAAATGCTTTCAATTTTATAAACGTCATAGCCTTGACAGGGCTCGACACTAACTTTTCATCTTACTAGCCAAGTGGCTGGTGACATCTTAGATGCTATAACAGTGTCAGTTCGTTTACTAGGGAAACTGGCTAGTGGAAATCGAAATCCACTAGCCAACACTAAATTTCTACTAGTCTGTGGCTCATGGGCTACTGTTAGTGTCAAGTCCTGCTTGAAATGGGTGAATAGAGTAACCTCCGTAACTTTGTCTGCTGGATTTTTCCATGACGCTTACTTTACCTTTTGCAAATATTGGTAATATAGTGAATGCTAAACATACAATACAAATACAAACACTAACCTGCAAAAACATTGACACCTAGAAAGCATGCTCAATAAATGATAAGACCCAAAAGCTTTAGGGAAAATGTTCACAAATATGTAAATTATAACGAGCCAATCAATTCCAACCTCCAACATCCCCTCCCTGGGGAATCCACAGGCATTTGATTGACCATTATGAGTGCACCAGGGGGGGTGGGGAATTTGAACTTTGCTTGACCAGGGAATTTGCGCCCAATTTCTCCTTACAGTATCACCCCTGAATCACACATTACAGTCATGAGAATAAAGAAATTGATCACCCACTAGATAATTTCATGATTGTTAAACAAATTCTCCTTGTCAGCAACTTACAGAAAAGTATGGAGAATATGCATACTAATTTTAGGGTATTAAGGGTGACAAGTAGCAAAATTGCCTTTTTCAAGTAAGGGACTTCAAGGATAAAATCAGAAGAAAGTCCATGGTATGTACATGTTACAAAATAGTGTGAATGCGGTGTGATATGCCTTAAGTGGCCTATAGCCCTCAGTTCCTGGTCTTCCCCAAGTTCCTGATTGCTGTACTCCTTGAGCTGCTCTGTTCTGCTGCCAGCGCAGCTCCTCATGGTGACATGTTAGACACAAAGGACGCTCTTCGTGATTACTGTAGTTGATGGTGGAGCAGAAAGCACAGAATACTCCAAAGCATCTGTCACATTGACGCACACACATCTCACAAGCACTGTGTTCACAGAATGCACATGGCATAGAATCACCATATTGATGACAAATCCAACATTGACAGGAAGAACTTGTTGCAGCTGGTTGTAGTGGAGAAGCATAGCTAGCATCTCTTTGACTTCTCTGGCTGTTCATGAGCACCTCAAATGCACAAGCTGAAAAGTACCAGATTTCATGGGTAATTTTTGGTTGTATTCTTGAAATGACTCAACTTATTAAAACACACATGCATTTGTGGATAATCAAAATCAATTAAAATATTTTGGTAAAACCACCCTGAACATAGTTTCTCCATGATACATACAGTACCAACTCCGAAGTCAGAAAATCTTGTCATTTGGGGGTAGAAAAGGGGGAGTGTAAACACTAAAGCACAAAAAAATGGTCCTTCACAAAAAAATGGCGAAAAAAAATGGTTGATTTTGGGACTATAGCTTTGTTTAAGAATAGTGGCGGAGAGAACTCTTTCCAAGCACCGTGGCATGGCTCTCCTTTTTTTCCAAGTGAAATCTGGATGCCAAAAAAAAAAAAAAACTAAAAACCATTACATGGTTTAAAATTATTGCGATCATTTAAATTGACTAATTCATCCTAACTCACGATTTTTTTTTTAAAAACCTTGTCATTCAAGTACGTACCAGTGATTGAAGTGGAACTTTGATCACTTGAACATGTGGAACTGGCATTACGCGCCATTACACTTTCAGATGCCGGGATTTTTAAAGGCTGGGGAGACTCTCCAAATGGGCATCGACGCTTTGTCTTTAAACGGCTTAGCTCTGGTGATGCGAGAGGAGTTCCAGAATCCAAAATCGGTTCCATTTAGACAAATTTCAGCCACAAAACACAGTTCATAGGTAACGTTGTCAGTTGTCATAAACAATCTTAGGCCCCAGTCTGTAGGAAACTGGGATCTACTAAGTCCCAATCTCCACGCGTTTACTCGACTTCTAACACAGGCTTTTCGGTTTTGTTTGCGGGAAAGTGTATCTGACAATACTGTACTTGTAGAAACGAATAAGTAGTTCAATTTATGCGCTACGTGGGCCGTAATGATCCTCTATTTACGGCAGTAGATGTTTTCGGAACAACACGGTGTCCTTTTACGTGGTAGAAGGGTTAATGGCGGAATGTATTACGCGCTGTAATTCCTAATCGAGAAGAATATTTGTCGGCATACGGCAGGAAACACGAGGAGTAGCTGTGAAAGGTTGGGTGCATTTCCGTGACACGAAGTATCGACGACAATTCGTGTTGGTTTTGAGCTTCATTAACTACTGATCTGGCGAAAATATACTGCAAAAACTAACATAATTTTTTACTTTTGGACTACAAAGTTGAATTTTCTTCGCACTTGAAAGCGAAGACGTCGATCGTATTAGTTTTGGACCTTTGTCCATCGTGAAAAGTTGTATTTCATTTTGCTGTTTCCCTGTCTGTGAAAATGGTAGACGTCGATCCAGACACACTGCTAGAATGGCTGAGTATGGGACAGGGGGACGAAAGAGACATGCAGTTAATTGCGTTGGAACAATTGTGCATGTTACTTCTCATGTCGGACAACATCGACCGGTGTTTTGAGAGGTAAGATAAAGTTAGCTTTTTCAGTGGGTGATAACGAAAACTAGAACTGCAAAATTTGTCTCGTAATCTATAGAAACTCTTCCTTACTATTTCTTCGTCATCTATTGTAGTTAAGCTAATTGTTAAGTCAGATCAGTGGGAAAACTACGGCGTGCTTTTTATAGAAGTAAAAGAATGAGTTTTCATATAAATGGCTAATTCGCAAAATTGACGATGGATAAAACAAGTCAAGTATGTCCTCACGTTTCGGTGATTTTATCGTTGGATTAACTTCAGTTCTCCGTCAGAATTCGTCTCACGTATGCCTGTAATAGCTTTTATTTTGATCAATAAGGGTTTCAGGTAATTTATTTTCCAACGATACCTAATTATTTGACGTTTGGTCCACAATAAAACGATCATCATGGAGGCTGTATTGGTACATTGTGTCGAAAGAGGCGATGATCTCAATTGAAGGCCAAGGCCTTTCACGTGATAAAAAATGAAAAAAGTGGACAACGTTCATATGCTTTATTAAACAGCAATTATGAAAATGTACTTATACGGAATTTTCCTTTTAAAATTCCTATATTGGCAATACATTGTAACCATTAGTATATTTTTCTCATTGAAGAATGCTGAAAAGCCAATGTACTATTGTCTATTTTGCTTATGTTGGCGTTGGTAAAAAAATCAGACTTCGATCTCAGAAATATTCCACAAGGTTACATGTGAACAAGGCCTTCCTCCTTCCATAACACTTGACCCAACTAGAAAAATTCAGCCTCACATGTCTTTTACACTACTTCCACCTGTATACTGTGAATGTAAAATTTTTGACAAAATTATGTAAGGGAGGACATGGATTTCAGGATTGGGACAGCTTATGCATGTAAAGGACTACCTTTTGCGGTCTGGTTTTTATGAGCCCACAACCCATAGTATTCAGGAAGTTAAAAGAAAAAAGTTTTGTTTACAGATATCAAAATATTTGTTGCACAGAGAAAGAAGAATTACTGAAATTAATTGGCTAATATGTATGACCTTCAGTGTAATAAAGTTATTCTCTACTGAAAGATTTTTTTAAAAATTCAGTGAATTGTCATGAATTTTTAGAGTTTGCTATAATTTTGGAAGTGATGAAAGATAGAAATAAACATTTTCATTTCTTACTGATATTTTGCCAGCTTTGACAGGAAGTCATTAAAGTAGCTCCCAGCAGAAATTTGAAATAAGTCATACTGCCAAAATGTGCTCTAGTAAATCTGCCAATCTGTAAAAAAAAACCAAACAAAATCATCCCAACCTGCTGCACTGGACCTCAGATGTGAAACATGGTGGTGTCACTTTGGTGTGTTTTTTGGAAAAACACCTAACTCTTGCAGTACTAACTGCTATCCAGCTAAGGGTGTAGATGGGTCACAGGAAAACTGACTAAATGCTGTTGGGGTTATCTGGGATGAGCTGGCTTCTCGCTAAGGAAATAGTGTCGATACTTTCTGTTACTTTATGCCACGGAGAGGAGGATAAGCTTTGGCACTTCCTTTCATTTGGTTGAAATGTGGACTTTACCTTTCTGTAGTCCAAGATCTGTCAATTTTGATCTCTTAGTTTATAGATGCTTGTGTGGTATTCTAACTCAGAGTGATTCACTTTTTCCTTTGAAGTTGTCCACCACGAACATTTCTACCAGCTTTGTGTCGTATCTTCTTGGATGAGTGTGCACCAGAAAATGTACTGGAAGTAACTGCAAGAGCTATCACCTACTACCTTGATGTGTCCGCAGAATGTACCCGACGGATTGTTGCCGTGGAGGGAGCAATTAAGGCCCTTTGTAGTCGACTTGTGGTGGTTGATTTATCATCAAGGACTAGCAAAGATCTAGGAGAACAGTGTGTTAAAGTAAGTGAGAAGAGGAAATGGTATTGCTTTGCTTAAAATCTGTTACTGCTCTACATTCATATTAACTTTTGCAAAAACTACAGCTATGATTGTGCTACTTTGTGGAAATAAAGGGTTTTTAGTTCATTATGTATACACTAAGGAACACTATATCTTATGGCATTTTTTAAATTGAAATAAATGGATAAAAAAAAAACGTCTTTGTTACCCATGTAAATGGGTATTGCTTTGTTTTGTCCAGACACATTACTTTTTTAAAGAGATCAGGGAGGTATTCGATACTAGTGTTAGAAGTTCTGAACTCTCATCAAGTGTTATGATATATTTTACTAAGATTAGTTTATTGATATTTTAAGGTTAGGTCAGAATGCAAAAAGGTTACAAGGTGGTGTGAAAGGCCTTAGCAACAAATTGCTTCAGGTGTATTGATTCCATTATTTTTACTAAAGATGTAATGTAAGAAAATTTGTTGTTCCTCTCTTAAGGTTCTGGAACTGATATGTACTCGAGAGGCCGGAGCTGTGTTTGAGGCAGGGGGTCTTCAGTGTTCATTGACATTTATTGGGGAGTTTGGGAGTTCTGTGCACAAGGACACACTACATTCAGCCATGAATGTAGTGTCCAGGTTATGCGGACGAATGGAACCACAGGATTCTAACTTGGAAACTTGTGTCAAGTCTCTGTCAACTTTACTGAAACACGAAGACCCATATGTAAGTAATGATTGTTCAGACAGATTCATACAGTTGTGCTATTTAACCTTTTCACTTTCATTAGAGACATCAGCAGACAGGAAGGGGAATCAGTGTCGAGATATTTGAGGTGAAAGGGTTTTTGAATGGCAGTTAGTTAATAAATGACAGTTAGCTGATAAATGGGTTTGGTGTCATGGACAGGTCCATGGATATTTGTACCGTGGCTGAGCTCTGGATTTAAGAGGTTTTTTGGTTTATTTTTATATTCCTGGAGGAAGAGAGGCATTGCAAGAATTACTGTCAATATGTTACTGTGAACACAACACCATGAACCAGCCAGGGCTTTAACCCAGATTTTTTTTGTCAAGAGTGCAATACACAAACAACATGTATTAGGCTTTCATTTCCCCCACACGTCCCCAAATAAGAGCTTCATCTTTTGCTGATGCCTTAGGTATCTGATGGTGCTCTCCGATGCTTTGCTTCCCTTGCTGATCGGTTTACACGCCGTGGTGTTGATCCAGCTCCATTAGCTGAACATGGATTGAGCAATGAGTTGTTAGACAGGCTGGCAAGTGCTGCAGTTGCTGCTGGTGACAAGACAGGAGGCAGTGGAGCCACCCCGGACTCCAAGAGTAACAGTACATCAGTTTCTACTATTGTCAGTTTGTTATCAACACTTTGCCGGGGATCACCAAGTGTTACTCATGTAAGTATTTCATTCCTGTTACAATATTTTTAATAGGGGTGCAACAATTTGTAAGGGATGAAATCCTTTTAAGTTCATCAGTAGTGAGCTGTGAATTCCAGATTTCAACACAAGTCTGAGTATTTTTATTGGAAATGTTTCTGTAATGTGTACAGAAAAATGCATGTTCACGTACAAGTTATTGAAGTGACAAATGTGTATTCTATAGTATTCAGTTCTGAAATAAGTACAACTTCTGCCAAGACTCCATCATCCTCCTTCTAATGATAACCATTTACATTTTTACTACTGCAAAATCCTGATATCTTCCTGAATTGCTTAGCATTTACTTCCAGTGTAAAGCTTTGTCTCTAGTGTATTTTCTTGATTTTTAATTGGGAAAAATTTTCCTAATTAAAAATCATGTGTGAAGAAATACATTTAGAATAAGGTATAGAAAGTGAAATTCTGCAAATAATTTTCTTTCCAGGATTTGCTAAGAGCTGGGCTACCAGATGCTATTCAAAAAGCCCTACAAGGTGATGAGAGATGTGTTCTGGACACCATGCGACTAGTAGATCTCTTGCTGGTTCTGTTGTTTGAAGGACGACGTGCATTGCCCAAGTCCTGTGTTAGTATTCCCAAGGGAGGGATTGCCAGTCTAAGAAGGTTTGACAGGTCACATGAGAATTCACACAGACAGCTAATTGATTGCATCCGCAGCAAGGACACAGATGCAGTCATAGATGCTATTGAAAATGGTAAGAGGACCTTAGTTTGTAATATTTTGTGAAACTTCTCTTTGTAGAATGTCTCATGAAGCCTATAGCTGAAACCTGAAGCCTGGAAAATCAAAGCTAGTCTGCTTTTTTGGTAAAAGAACCATGTTTAAAATTTTCATTCATTTACAGGTGTGGAATTTATAGTTTGTGCATAAGTTTCATTGTGCTTTCTAAGTGATATTTGTTACACAGAAAATTGTTCGTTTGAGACTGACTGTCCTTCACATGTTTCAGGAAGCAATTATTTTCTCCAAGTTTTAATGCAATTCA